TGAGACCCTCCTGCATCAGCCTCCCAGAGTGCTGGGATTTCAGGTGTACATCACTATCCCTGGCTCCAATTTACTCTTGATTGTATCTACTCATTCATCAATAGCTTTTCTTTATTTTTCATCCTTTAATATGTTGCTTATCCATCAAAGCTAATAATTTATTCATCTTTCTGTGCCTCATTATTTAAGAACTGTGAAATCCTACTTAATTTTGGTCTCTGGTGGGCAAAACATCTCCTGAACCCTGCTCTGAGTAAAGACATTTTGGAGGGGCCAGTTCCCTGCTTCCAGTCTCTACCCTGCCTCATATTCTAGATCTTTCATGTAATTAGTGTTACTTTATAACTTTGCGTGGAGAAAAAAGAACTGGATAGATTAACCTATCACTATGTCAGGAATGTTTGCAGGAACTGGAAACAGCTAAACCATCTTAGTCTGGGTTCTGAGATCATAAATGGATGCACGAGCACTTGCTCATGACTCGATGCACAAAGAGCCACGCATCCCTGACATCTCCACCACCCCAGTCACATTCCTGATAGTTTCTGAGACCAAAGCTACTTACAAAATATCAGCCACAGCCAGTTTAGAAAATGTTGGCCTTTAATTTAGATAACGTAAAAATATAATGGCTTCTAATGCTAGGTGACCTCACCGGAGCAGCAGAAAGCATGACCAGCTTGGCAACACAAAAGTCTAGCGTGGATCAGGAGGCTTCAGCTGTTAGGTTCCTGGGATGTATCATGTGCTACTGTAGGGCCATAAGGTGGCATAGGCCTTTCAGTTGTGGGTAGGTATGGTGCTCATACATGAACTAGCCATGTCCCTTCCAAATGATGAGAGCAAAAATCCACTTTCCGTGGCTCAGAGACCAAATTTTCAAACATGAGGGCCAGGTCTTGCATAACCAAACTAGCTGTAAGCAACTTTATTTTCCCTTGTCTTTACTTACATAGCTGCAGTTCATGCATTCTAAAATACAGTCACACTAAGCACCTTAGTGGCAAGTTCCCACCTTTCAAGCTCTGCTTGTGCAGTTTTCTCTACCCCTGGAAAGGATCCCCTACTTGTTGGAGTATTATTATTTTATTCAAAGCTCACGTCAAATGATAATCTTCCTCTAAGTCTTCTGGGTAAGAGGTGGTCTCTCCTTCCTCTGAACTTTGTGCTACATTATAGCCACCCAAATGCACATCTCATCTTAGCTACCAGATAGAAACTCCCTGAAGGTGTAGGTAACACAGACAAGATCCACCACATAGCACAGGCTGAGGGCTTATTATGCACTAAGCCCGATGCCAAGCATGGCATGACCACCACCTTATGTATTCCTTATTATTCCTATTTTGTAAATTTAAAATATCCAAGGCTCAGAAAGGCTAGGTTAGTCCACGAACCCAGAGCTAATGAAGATTCGAATTCAAAACTACAATGGCAATAGGGAGAGTTAATTATATATTAGCTATTGTATGGAACATAGGACAAGACCCAGAAATTAGTGGAAAAGAAGCTCAACTTCCAACTCATGAGAAAAGAATTCCATGTGCCAGATCCTTTTCATTCTCAAAAGCGAAGGTAATGTCTGCGTCACATCCTCAGAATAATGAATGGATCAAAAACTAAAGCAGTCTTCTAAGGAGTTTTATGTTGTTTTGGTAACTAGCAAATCATCATTTTTACAATAACTTCAGTGAATTAATGCTATTTTGAAAGACTTCCAATTTCTGCATGTCTGAGAAGATAAGAAATCTCTATTGCCTCAGATTCTCACCTCCACATAACTTGCACAACTGCTGTGTATTTATATTCGTATTTTAGGTAGAGGGCTGTTCTGAACTGTGTGAACAAGCTGGGATACACGGCAAGTGTTCACTGTTATTTTCAATCCCATTCCTGTAAGCAGTCAAAAAGTCAGGCAGAGCACGAGAGAGGCAGACATGAAAGCGATGAATGTGTTTTCTCCAAACTCATTTTATTCCTCAACTTTGAACATTAATCCAGGCCCAGGAAACATTAAAAACGGAACTTTAATGTTGCAACATGATTGAAAGTCTGGTATCATGCCGAAGTGATGGATCAAATTTCTTATGGAATTTTCTTCGTAACAACATTTCATGTTCTTAATAATGCTCTGCTCTAAATATTGACAGCAAATTGCCACTTGGGAGGCAAGAGGGTGATAAAAAAATATCAAGAATATTACCCTTTCTTCCCCTAAGCCTCAATATTTTTCTAGTAAAAAAAGCATCTCTTTCTTGGGTGATTCTAAATTGATCTTTAGTGAAAAGGCAAAAAGACCACAAATCTAGTGAAATGTTTGTCTGTGTGCTTGTTCCCTGTAAGTCCTAATTGACATTATAACTTTAAAAGTTCGTGGGCGAGCTGATTTTGGCAACTATCGAAAATTTAATATTATTTAACGCTCAAGGACTAACTCAAAGCCAAACAGTCATCAAGCCTACGGTGATTGAAAATGGGCGGGTGTTAGAATGAATAATCGATAATGTAAAATAGGAAGAAAAGGTCCAAAGGGGTAAGGGTAGTGGGAGGGGCAGGGGAAAGGAAAGAAGGGAAAGGAAAAATGATGAGAAATGGAAAAAATGGAAATAAAGTCTTTGTAAATAGGGAAGGGTGGAGGGCGTGGAGGGCTAGGAATGGGGAAAAAATAAGAACCAAGATGCATTATGTAAAGGTACAATTCCCAATGAGAAATGTAATTGTGTTGTATACCTACAATGTACCAATAAAAGAATTTAATCCAAAAAAAAAAAAACAAAACAAAAAGAAAACGGGCGGGTGGGCCTGACTGGCCAGCACCAGAATCAGGGTTTTACTGCCTCCTCACAAAACTGGCTCTTCCTAAGGTGTGAAAGTGGACATATCCACACGTGTTCTCTTTCTGAATTAGTTGAAATGTACAAGCATATGATCTGGTAAAATCCCAGACACAACCTCAAATTCAAAAATGGATGATCACACACCACACCCCTCCTCATTCCTTTGGTATGAAGTCCAGATTGTGGTGAGTTTGTTAGGTTTCATTCATTAACATCATTTGACAGCGTTGTTGCCTCCTCATTGAAGTATTTTGTTTCTTTTATTTTTGTCCTTAACAAATGTCAAACAACCAATACTGATGACTGCCTATCTTAGGTTATATGTCTTAGCGGAGGGGTGATGTTTGTGTACTCATAAAGCATGACTGTGCCCTAAGCATAACATTATAGTTAATGTGTGATAAATTACTTCAATAACAACAAGTAATACTGCCACTGATAACAAAAGGGGTAATTCTGAGGGTGATGGTTATCTGTGGAAACTGGAGCTCTCTTTCTCACATTTTTGCCCTTCTCTTATTTCAGGGGGAAAGCCACTGTCCTAAACGTGCATCACTGGGCTAGTACTTTACAACCATTAGTAATCTTTTTTTAACAGTGGTTCTCAATTTTTATCAGGCAGAAAAGTCCCCGGGAAGCATGGTAATTACCACTTTCCTTATCAAAAAGAAATCACCTGAGTAGCCTCAGGAAGGGCCCAAGAACTCTTTTTACCCCCCAGTCTTTGGTCTCCAACTCAGGAACTGTGCATGGTAGCCAAATGCTGTGCCACTGAGCTACATCCTCATCCTGAGTCCTCCGAAGAGCCTTTACTGAGGACAGTCTCTTACGGTTCCGATGCGGAGTACACACCGAGAAACAAAGAGGTATTTCACAGGGTGGTTCAGCAATGCAATCATTTCTCAAAACAGGAAAGAGAACTTCAAATATTTTATGGAGTTTTCTTTAAGAATAGTCCATTACCGCCTATGAAAGAGGTATAATTTACAGGACAGGGTTGGCCAACACAATTGAAGGAGAAACACTCATATAAAAAGCAACCCCTTCTCTATGGTTAGTCAGTGTACACTCGGCGTGGTCTAGGTCAGAGAGTGAGGCATCACATGTTGGAGAGCGGCCACTACTGGTCAAGTTGAATTATTACAGCCTAGTTTTACTAGGATTCAAGCCACAGAACCTCCCCTCACCCTCAACCCCACCCCCCAAAATAGCTATGGCTGAGGAACACTGTTTACTTATTTAACGTTCTTCCCAGTTTCTATCTAAAATTTGGGTCAATAGGTAAAAGTGCTAATAACTCACTTGGGTCAATAGTTAAAAGTGCTAATAACTCACAATATTCATTACATAAAATATATTTCCTGCAAGCAAAGAAAATGTGAATGTGGTCACTTTACTACCGATTTTAATTCTATTACAGCTTGAAGTTCTCAGGAAATTCAAGTTAAAGGTATAACAGCACTGCTACCATTTAAAAAATAAACTAGCTGTGACAGTGTGGGATATTATGCTTTTCTTCACAAAGAGTGAAGAAAAGCCCACTGGAATTCAAATATTACTTTGCTTATCATTGACAACTCATCTAGAACGGTAGAAGGAAATTGAACTGTTAACAAAAAGGATGTCTTAGTGCAATAGACTCAACAAATTACAAAGGAAAAAAACAAATAAATACAAAACTCAAAGCTGTAGAGATTAATTTAATTTGGTTACTTCCCTGGAAAGCACTCAGAATGATGAGAATAGGAAGAGAAAAGAAAAAGATCGATTCTTATTTAGAGGAACTGACAGCAACTGAAATTGAAATGTTCATATGAAAGAGAAAACCATTAAAAACTGTGGGTGATTTGACAATTCCACTTTTTCACAGTTTCCAGTGTTAAGTGCCATTTTACGTAACATCATATGCAGTGTCTAGCAGGTCAATTGACAAATTCAGAAATCTCTCAACGTTTAAAAACGAAGTTCGTGAATGAACATTTTGTGAGTTGGAGGATCTGGGTAGATTTGATAACCAACTTCAGAGAAATGTTTGCTGACTCTCTGCTGTGTCAATTAATACGGCTGGCAAGGTGAATGCAGAGGCAAGCCTGTAGCTCCAGCTGAAGAGGCACTTTCTTTCTTAAAGCCCTGCATTCATGCTTCTACAGAAAGCTCTAAGGCAAAGGGGAAAAAAATTAAGATATTTCTCAGCACTATGCAACACACAATCCACAATCAAGTCACGATTTCCACTGGGCTTTACAATGTCATATGGATCATTTAGTTGCAAATTTGACCAACCCAAGTTGGTTGAAGTTAAATCATTTCCTATTGTCATGACTCTAAAGGTGCTATTTTATTTTGTAGACACACACAACAGGGATACATCCACGTCTGCAGGGAACAAAGAGCCAGCCTTTTGCAAATGATTCTTGCCACTTTTACGATGAGCAGAGAGACTGATGAACTTGTTCTTTCTTATCAATGAAATCCGAGCCTCTAAACCTAAATAATGAGGAAATAAATAGTAGTTGAACCTTTTAAGAAACAGGAACCAGGCACTATCATGGTCATACCTCATTGTGCAACTCATGCCTCCCCGCCCCTTAATCTGGAAATAGGATCTGTATTATTTTTAGAGTTGCTCACCAACACCCCAGGTCCATGTATCAAGCAGGCAAGTGAACATATTAAGAGTGGCTCGCTGACTCTAAAGACTTGGGCGGGAATCCTAGGACGGAGATGTCTGTCAACTGGCCATGTTGGGGACTGCCCCTCATGCAGAGACAGGGCAGGAAGCACAGCGGGAAAGTCAAGCCAGACCCAGGAGATGTGACTCGTGACACCATGTGAGCCTTGGATCCAGCCATGCCTGAGCTGACTTTTCAGTCTTTTAGGTCAATACATGTCACCCTATTGTTCCCTATTATTTGGTTAGTCTGTTGATTGGTTACATGAAATAGGTGGAGTCATATTTACGTCACTCACAATTGAACCGAATTTGGAATTCAAACAGATCAGCTTGTACTAAATGGGGTTGCACCAGATTCTCAAACTTTTCTGAGACTATGAAAAGGAAAATAAAATCCCCAGATGGTAGCTAGAAATGCCGTCTTCCAGTGCAGTGCTGAAATCCCTAGCATGGTATTCTGAGTCACCCATGATCTGGTCCCAGTCATTTTCCAGGGGTTTTGCCTGCAAGCATGCTCCCAGCTATCCAGGATCCACTCCATTTTTTTTCTACCCATACCAAAACCATGCCTTCTCTTTCGTGTCGCTTTCCACTTCTCATGTCATGTTCTTGGCTTGGAATCACCCTTTCTCCCCTCCCATTGTTCAAGCTACAGACTACCCTTCAAAGCCAAGCTTAAATGCGATTTACTGTGTGAAGATGTTCTCAACTTTCTGTTCGGTTATAATTATTCCTTCTCTGCAATGCTCTCGCTTATACCAAGTGATACATTTGAAAGCACTGTACGCACTATTGAGAGCTATACAAAGGTCAATGATTTTCAATGTGACTGAGCACTGGTATGAGTTCTTTCTTACACCATAGAGGAGTATCTTGCTTACCTAACTGTCAACTCATTGCAGGCAGGGACCATATTGATTTTCCCACAGCCTAGTACACTGTCTTAGCAAAATAAATGCTAAACAATTGATTCATATCAGATATGCATTAGTCATAAAAGTTAAAAAATCTATCTGAAATGCAAGGAACTGTGGCTAGGTATGGGGGCACACAGGTCAGTAATCCCAGCACTCCAGAGGCTGAGGCACGAGGATCACTGTGAGCTCTAGGCCGGCTTGGGCTACATAAAGAGTTCAAGGCCAGCATGACCCACACAGCAAGACCCTGTCTTAAAAACCAAAACCAAAACCAAAACAAAACACAATGCAGCTAACTCAAGGATAGGGAGATTTAAGATGATCTTCTAGAAATAAAATATCAAAACAACCTCGTAAAGATAAACAGAGTCACAAACTTCAAAGGAAGAGGTGTTTTTATGCAGATCGATCAAGAAATATTAAAAGCCAGAGGATATGAAACAGGCTATGAGGCTTGTAAATGGCCAAAAGTACCCATGGAGTGTGTGTCAAGCTGCAAAATTTAACTACCCTGTTGAAGACGCTTCCCACATCAGAATACAAAAAGACATCAACAAATATAAATATATTGAATATACTGTGTCAATATATGTATTTTTTTTTTTTTTGTTACCGGGGATTGAACTCAGGTCCTTGAGCTTGCACAGCAGGCGGCGAAACCACTGAGCTAAATCCCCGGCCCAATATATGTATTTTGAACACACATATACAAAACACATGCATATATTCCCTATGCATGTGTTCAAAGACCAGACTGAACACAGCAGAATCCTTTTGCTACATATAAAAAAAGAAAGATAGGATTTGGTTGCTCTAGAGAGAAAGAAAGAAAACACCTCTAAGGCAAATAATTCAGGTACAGAGTTGGAGAAGGAGGAATTTGGGAGACCTTCTTGGCAAAGGTGGCAAACCTGGCTGCCTGCAGGGCCTAGATGGGTTTGGAAACACTTAGAGAAAGCTGAGGGAGCTAACACAGAGCTCCAGGATGGAGAGCAGTAACACTCGCCCTTAGTCTTAGGGGGAATGTGAGCAGTGCTGGTAGGCTCAGCTCACCGAAAAGGAATTTGCCACCACTACTCCATTCCAGCCTCTCAGCTCTACGTGGAAATTCAGGCCCAAAGATTCCAGAAAATCTGATTTTCCAAGAAACATTTAAGATTCATATTTTAAGTGAATTTTCTCTTATTAAATATTGGCAGATAATTTAAATAAAACTTGTACACCAGTGGACCAGCCGAGTAAATACATCTGCTGCCAGACTTCAAATTTGCAACCTCTGTCGTATAAAGTATTGACGGCCAGGAACCCTGCTAAGTCACACGGCGGTTAAAGTTGCTTTTCAAGTCCCCATCTGCTCTCTGAAGGGTTAACCATGGAGTACCCTAAGAATGAGCTCACGGATACATGAATTTTGAACATTTAAATAGTGCCATATGTTTACAAATATGTTTATCCTCAGAGCAGTTATGGGAGAAAGGTATTATTCCCATTTTCAAATTAGATTTACAGCAGGCTCTGGAGACAGCAGAAGGGAACCACATGATTCATAACCCCACCTGCCACTCATTCACAGCCAATATTTATTGAGCACTACCCAAGAGCCTGACCTTCCATTCCTTCACTCTCTCCACTACGACAGGATGGAGACATGACAGAGCAAGTTAAGGAGCTGACAAAGATGACTCATTCTTGATTTCTCTGTAATTCATTTAAAGTAGCTCACAAACTGTTTAGGTTGTAGATCATCTGTGAGTTATTATGCTCTTTGCACATGAAATACTGATTTAATCAATGTAAGATAATTAAATAGAGAAAATTATGGGTTATATGAGATGCCTACCTTGAACTAGATTGTAGTACAGACAAGTGGTAGTTGGTCACAAAGATTAAGACCAGCTTACGGGAGAAAAGCCTTAACACTGGGCAGACAGCATTCTCAAATCAGGGCTTATGGATGCACTGAGGAAAGCTCATCAGCACTTAATGCCAGCCCCTTATACAGTGGCACCTTGGTTCATGAACATTTTTGTTTGCAAACAATTTGGTTCACAAACAGAAGCGTTTGGCAAAATTTGGTTTTTATTTGCAAACTCTGCATTAGGTAACAAACACGACTGTAGCCATCTTTGCCACAGAAATATAAATGCAAAATCGTAGAACAAACCAAGTTTGTGAACCAAGGTACCACTGTACCGGCTCACAGAGCAGCAAGATATTATGGGGCATAACACAAGAACCCCAGAGTGTGACACACTCAAAAGCTGCCCCTAAAGTTATGCCATCAGGCAGGCTGATGAAGTACTGTTCATCTGGGGCCCTTGTGCCTGACACCTTCTTCACAGATGAGTTCCTCTTTGATCCCGGCCTTTTCCATCCCCACATCCTGGTATACAAAATCTTAACCTTTTCCCTTCACCCGAGCTGCATTTGTGCACTTTCCCATTGCTGGGACACCATACCCGATACCCACATCTTAAAGGAGAAGATGTTTAATTTGTCTCATGATTTCAGGAGATTCAGTCCATAGCTGGCTGGCTTCAAGTCAGAAGCATCATGGCAGAAGGGCAAGACAGAGCAAATATGCTTAGTCAATGGTGGCCACAAAGCAAAGAAGGGAAACAGTATCAGAGAGAAAAGGGCCATTACCCGCAGTTTTCCTCAGCAGACCCATGGCATTGCCAGCTTCCTGGAGTCTCCACTGAGCCTTTGGTTTCAATCCTACATGCACGGCATTCTCAGGGTTTCCTTCCCTGGCCTCCAGTTTGTCCCTTGAAATCTGGGGGGAAGCTGCCCTGTCCCCACAACTATTGCATTCTTTGTACCAGTAAAACCAGTATCACATAGTTGATGCCAAAGTCAACAGAAGCAGTAGCCATGCCCCCCTTGGACCATGGCAGCAGTGACCTCAGAGTGCCTGAATGGCTGAGCACGGTGAAATGAATCCTGGTGAACTAATTACCTAGCAGGTCCTTCTCAAGCAGAGGTCCCTTTTCAAATGAAGGGTTTACATGTTTGTATCATTTCGATTTTGATGGATAGGGTTGTGCTGATTTCTGAGATGCCCTCAAGGAATCTTTCTTCTTGTCCCTGTATAAAATAATGGATTTCTTTTTAATGGTGTTAATTTCTTCAGCAAACACATCTCCTTTAGCTGTAATTTTATATTTGGTTTGTTTGGGCCAAAATTTAACTTTTTCAAATTGATTCACTCTGTTTTCTCCCCAATTTTCAACATAAATATAGCTAGAAACAGTCAGAAGTACCTATGCAATTGTCTGAATGTTGGGCTGAGCTGAAATTCCCTCCATCAAATCAATCACTCCACTCTCCTTAATCTCAATCTCCTACAAAGTTTCAGGACATGGGCAAAACGTAGATAAATTTTTGCTAGAGTATAGCACACATAGCCTGTAGTCCAAATGCCAAAGGAGTCTTTATTCCAAATTGAAATTCCTGAGCCTGGCCTATATTGTCCACATTCCTAGCAGCATTCTGGTCTTCTGAACTCCAACCAGAATTACCCACCAGGCTCTTCTTATAGCAGTCTTAGGCTTTTATAGTCCATTTCTCCAAACCTTTAAAAACTGCTCTCACAAACCAGATCCAAAGGCTTCTAAAGCACATGGTAAGGTACAGTGACAGGAACAGCCCCACTTCTCTGATGGCAATTTTCTGTATTTGGTAGGTTTCCTATCACTGTGATGCAATACCCAACTCACCACTTAAAGGAAGTGAGGTTTAATTTGGCTCACGGTTAAAGGAGATTTGGTGCATGGTTAACTGGCTACAAGGCAGAAACTCATGGTGGAAGGGTGTGGCAGCAGGTAAGTGGAGCAGGAAAACATACCAGAGATGAGGGAGCCAGAGACCACATACAGCACCCAAGGTTATGCTTCTATGGCTCATCCAGACAAACCCAGAAGTATGTTTTACTAATTCACTTGGTGACTCCCAAGCCAGTCAAGTTAACATAATTAAACTTAATAAAACACTAGTAGAAGTCACCAATTGGACAATCAAGATCTTGCTCCTAGGAGATTTGTTTGGAGGTACTTGGAATGCCTTTTCCTTAAGACTCAGATTCTTTAGAGGACCAGTCTTCAGCACTCTTTCCAGCAATCATTCCTATGACATGCTGACCCCTATAGATATTAAATATTTCTACTCTACATGCTCTCCTAAGAAAAGACTGGCAGATCTTAAACCATGCTCTCAAAAGTATAGCCACAGAGACATATGTGAGAACTGTGGTTCCCAATAGTCCCCTCCAACTCCCTCCAACCAGATTACATAAATACTTCCTCCAACTAGGTTATATAAATTTGCCAAGAAAATTGCCTAAGGCCCTGAGAACCGCTCAAATGCAGAGCAACTCACATCCCCACAGCCACCTCCTCCTTGATCTTTTTATTTTGGTCTTGACTTCTCCAACCTTTTCTTGCCTCGATCACATTCTTAAGCATTTTACCCTCTATTTTGCAGGTATTACTTACATAATTTTTACTCCAGTGTAAGGCACTGGTCTAACTAGTCCTTTATAATAGTATTCTAGTTTTCTCATTTATGTTAGTTTTGGCTGGTGTTACAATATCTCAATTTTGTATTTTTGAACAGAAGCTGTATATTGATAATAACACATTGCTTAAGCTAAATATGTGTAGTGCTCAGTGTAGGGTACCTAGAAGTTTCAGAATGGAGAATCCTATCCTTGGTAGAGTAGGGTGTCTTGACCCTAAAGAGTTTCTATTTCTCTTTCCTTGGTTTTTAAATGTTTTGGTTCCAATTATCTTTTCTTTGTCCTTAAATCTAAACCATGGCTCTATTTTGTTGCTGACATCTTTGTGTCTCACAAATCAATCAACATTTCAACAGGATTTGTGTTGACTCTATATTTTCTACAAATTTCTTATTTTAAAACAACTCCAAAGAAAATCTAGAACCTTCATTGTAGACAGACTTTGGTTTACCTTACATGAATAAAAACCCCTCCCAACAAATAATCAGTGGGAAAGAGGCCATATTAGGTTCAGAATGGTTCCTATTCAAAGTGGGCACTTCACATACTAGTCACCAGTGAGAACAACGTGGCTGAAAAGAAAAGGCAGGCTTCTCTACAGTGAGCTCAAACAAATACAAACCCAAACTACTTTGGGTGCCCAGACAGATGGAATGGCATGGTGGTTACATGAAAGCTTTGGAGTTAGGGTCAAGGTCAGCCACAACTACACCACTTGTCTGCTTAACTTAGGACATTACTTCATGGCTGCACACCTTGATATACTTGCTGTTATAATAGGGATAGTAACAGCACCACCTTCAAAGAGGCTATAGAACAGATTGAAGACTATATTTCTACTACCTAACAATAGTTCTTGGTACATGGTGAGTAAGAAGGGTCCAAAGCAACAAATCAAAGGAGAATACAACATACTCATATGGGAAAATGGTAGAAATTCTCAGTGAACTATTCTCCAAGTGTTTACAGAACATGAGGTTACTGATAGGGACCACAAAGTTACTGTTGCTGTCCATCAGGAAGATGTGAAATGTCATACAAAGATCAGAATCAATCACACACACTAGGTAATTCCCAAAGATAATATGGCTTGGAGATTTGGAGACTGTTAAAAAATCAGTCAACATTTACTGGGAATTCATTAGCTTCTGAATAGGTGAGTTTGTGAGAAATATTTTAGTTAAAACTCAACCCACTCTAAATTAGCTCACATCCACCACCCCCAGCACGACTTGGGGAAGGAAGGCATTGACTCACACATAAACGTAAATGTCTTCATTCATGGTCCAGTCAGGCTGTAAACAATGTAATCTCTCCTTCCTCCAACAGACAAAAAAGATGGTCGGCCAGCAGGAGCCTCAGTCTCATTCTCTACCACCTTAGCCACCTGAAGGAAAAAGGGGTGCTGTATCCCAACAGTTCTGGCAAAAAAGTCCTACAGGAATGGACTAATTGGCCCAGCAGGGATTTCATTTCTGCCTCTGAAATAATCACTGGCCAGGTGGATGGAACTCTTTGAATGACTAGGCATAAATCAGATGCCTACCACAACAGTGGGGGACAGCTGGCTCCACTACGATGCACAGAATGGGTTTCCCATACCAATGGTGGCTGTGTTCTTAAAGGAACGGGAAAGAGAAGACAAGAGAGGTACCTGTCAATGGATGACACTGGAAAAGCATCTTCCTACCCCATGAATGAGAAATGACAAAGCAGACATCACTTCACGGTTAAAACCTCCATCCTTTTAGCTATGGGGCCAATATTTATATCTTGAGAAACCATAAAATAGCCTCTTTATCCCATCCCTTCTTCCTATACTGTCCTCATAACCCTATGCCCAAAAGGCTATAGAACACAGTGTTTACATAACATTTTCTAAGTGAACAATAAGCTTTTATCATGCTAAACTAGGCATCGCCTGGGGCTCACTCACCTTTCTCAACTCTTACTAGAGAACACATTCTTGTAATAACTTTTTTCATACTCTACCACTCCACCATCATACTGAGTGGCTGACCTCCTGAAGAAAGTCATAAGAAACCCTGTTCCAAGCATCTTAAAGTAATATCAGGTTTTCATAAGGCTTTTGAGCTAGGATGCATATCCACACAATGCACAGCTGTGTCATTTATCTCAGGGGACCTCAGTGTCAGGCACCAGGGACAGCACATTGCATCCATTCAATAAATATTTGTGAAAAGTAAGAACTCTTAAAGAAAAATGTGAAAACCAATGGCAGCTTTGCACCACAGTTACATTTAAGAGACAGAGGCATGGAAATGCAGCTATCTAGAGCAGGGGAAAAAGCAACAGCTGTTGGAGACCAGGGACCAGCCTAGTTTATATTAACAAGCAAGCCTGCCATGTGGGAATCAAAGAAACCCACCAGAGGGTATCACTGGCCACTGTCTCTTCATTTAGATCCCGTGTAGCTAGATACTTCCTCAAGCTTTGAGATCTGTACTTTTCTGTAAGTCCTTAGATCAAATCTCTGCTCTCTATCCAGCCTTAGGGAACTCCTCCAGCAAGACTCAATATATAACATAATATATTGGTGATATCAATATGTCATCATTTACTGAGCACCTTCTGTATACCATGCATTTTTTCAGGCACTCAGCATCTTTAATCATATTAATTATTAATAAAGACACTAAATGGCTAAACCTTGCGAGAGAGCCAAAGTTCTAACACAAAGCAATGCAGGTCTGGCTGACATTCTCATATTCTTTCCCCTATGCAGAAATCTAAAGTCCTCTGGGGCTACTTTCCTAATCAATGTACTGCGATATATTTATATCCATTCTAAAGTATATGGAGCACAGTTTTACTCACTTTGACGATTTATAAAGGTGCGATGGCTGCTCGTTTTCATCAAGTGACATACGATACTTGATGACCATCGCTGCATAGAGGGATGCTGATGCAAGGTCACGTAGACAGGCTTCCCTTACAATCACACAGGTCTGCCAAAAGGTGATCTGCTTTACGGTAGGTATGGCCTTTGAGATCATGGTAAGAGTAACAAAATTTTACAAAGAAAACGGAAAAAGAAGTCCATACATAGAATGCCTAACACTTTATACTTTTAAAACAAGGACTTGATTTTACTGGTTACAACTAAATAAAGTGACTTAACACCTAGGCTATGTATGCTAGATAATTTGGCTAATAAAGCCTCTGTAGCATTGTTTGTGCTCAAGCTAGTAGAGGACATGTAGGTTCAGTGTAGAAAAAAATGTAATAATTATGTTGGTGCTTCCATAAGTTATCATTGCCTCTTGTATGATTACTGATAATTTCAGGTATTTGTCAGCTGTATGACACATCTTTTTGTGGCCTCACAGTAGAGGATACTCCAGGGAAGGCATTACAGAACGAAGGGGGGAACTGAGTAAGAAAAAGTGAGTTCATTCCTACTAAAACTTGCTAGATTTTCCTCTAACTATATTAGAGTATAATGATTTAATTACTTTATGACAATGAAAAGCTAAAATACAACACCAGCTTTTAACAAAAACATAACACAGATATAAACACATCATTTCATCTTAAATTCCTGACTTTTTTGAAAATGTAGTCTATTTAAATCATTTAGACTCATACTGGAAGATTCTTACCCCTGGCATGGCAAGAGATCACACTGCGTGGGGATGAGATACTTCACAACACAGCCGTTACCACAGTCAGGGAAAGAAAGAGCCCTTGAACACAACACACACCAATTTTTCTCCATCTATTAGGATGAGGAAGGGGTTAAAACAACATAACTTAAAAATGTAAATGCTCAGGAGATACTGACATTTTATCCAAAGGATGAATATGAAGTTACCATTTCTGAAAACATATAACCCACAAAGATACAGGCTCTCATTGGTAAAATGCTAAGAGAAAAAGGACAAGATGCGCAGGAAGAGTGAACAGCAAACCAAGAGGCTCATGTCTCTCTTCTAGGAGACTCGTCAATAAGATGTCTAATGACAATCACTTACATTTTTGCTTTATCCAAATATCAAAAGGTCACAGTGGTTCAATTAACTGTTTCTTATACAAACTTTTTTTTTTCATTGATTTAGAAGGGAGAAGAGCAAAAAGATAGTAAAACTCCAATCAGCCTGAGAGAAAGGTTAAAGCCATTCTTTTTTATATCCATTCTGGGTAGTGATCCATAAAAAATAATTAGGACAAGGGTAAACCTATGATGTAGCACACATTCACCATAAGTCTCGTCAATCTGTATTTGCTCAGGCACTAAAGATTTGTTGGACTTCATGTAGATGTATAACGAAAATGTATATTACACACACACACACACACACACACACACACACACACACACTCTTCCTTTGTGCCATCTAGGCGATGCCTGTAAGAACAAGTCTGATTCTTTCCCTTTAGTCCAATCTAGCATCCTTGGACATGCTCATCTAAAAACTGTAGTGTTTTCTCCATCTCCATTCTATTTTTCGCATGGACCAATTCTTCACACTTTTCTAAACATCCATCATGCCGCTGTTATCTCCACCAAGCACTGTCTGTCACATTTCCCTTCATCCTCCCTTTGAGCTAAGCTCCTTTAGCTTTGGCTGCCATGTCTATTTCCTTCATCCCTTTGCTGAGCGGAGGTGGCTGAGCACGGGGCCCCTCGCTCTCAGATGCTGGCTACGTTCCTGCGGGATTTTGTATTAGAGACCTGTCAGAGGTGGCCTGAAGGAGGGTACATTTGAAATCATTTCTCTTATTGAGAGATAAGTGCTCACTGTCATTTATTCTTCCATTCTTGCTTTTACCTTTCACATTACTTCCATATTTATCCCCCGGCCGCCTGCATATCTGACAATGCCACTGCTGATAGTGTTATGCTACCTGATATGCGCACGCCTGGCTGCAGGGACTGACTCGTGACCTTCAGCGCTCTCTACGCTTGACACACACATCCAGGCTTCATCCAGGACTGCTGGCGCAGCGTGGATGATCTCTATTATTACCGGTAATAATAATAATGCTAAGTGATAAGGCCAAGACTTTCTTTTTCCCAGGTAATTAAATGTCATATCCCCATAGCCACCTCACTTTGTTGGCATTCAGCCAGACTGGGCAGCAAAAGCCCAAATGAAAAAATGAAGCTTTCCTTGTGGGGCAGGACTGGAGCACTCAATGGGGAATCTTAAAGTGACTGGTGTACAAATTTGTCAGCAAGAGAGTCCGGGCTAACTAACAAGGTCTCTAGGCCATATGGCGAAGAACATAGTGCAGTTTGTCCAGTACTGACCAAACTGTGAGCCCTCAAGGATGAGAACTGTGTCTTCCCTATCACTGCATCGCTCAGTAAAATCCTATAAATTGTCTGAGTGTCGCACAATCACTGGGGAGAGGGGCGGCAAAGAGAAAGCAGGTGAGGTCAAGAGTGAGACAGGAGATGCTTCAGAGACTCAAAGCAGATCATTCAACTCAACTTCAGTTCGGGCTGCACGGCCCCTCCACATGGTTTTGTCTGGGGGAGAAGAGGTGTTTTTAGCAGTGTTCTGGGCAACTTCAGCATCTAGGTCCACAGTACCAAGTGCACATGCCAACAACACTAACTGAAAATCATTACTCACATAGAAAGACAGATGCAAAGTTCAAAACTAAGCAGTTCCATGACATCAGCAAACATGACTGCTAACAGTGATGTTCCCACCAAAAGAGAAACAGAGGAGTATCACTTCACAAAAGAAGAGACACCTTTTCACAAGTTGCTGCAAGCTTTTCATCTACTAAAGACAATTTAAAATTAAGGAATTTAGTCACCAAATTAACTATAATTCTCGTTGGCATTTTTCCTAATGTGTTACCTCGAGAAACAAAGATGAGGGCTGGGGATTTAGCTCAGTGGTTTCACCGCCTGCCACGGAAGCACAAGGACCTGAGTTCAATCCCTGGTACCAAAAAAAAAAAAAAACAAAGACGTCACTGGACATGAAATGAAGCAAATGAAACCACCACAGCTTAATAGGAAAAGCAACTTTTGAAGTTTAGTTTTTACGTGCATTAGAAACGAAACAAGAGAAGAAAAAAGACACAGAGCTGCTCCTGGGGGCATGGACGCCTAACCACATGGAGAACATCCCAAAGCAGATGCAAGACACATTATTCCGCCACAAAGATATTTCCTACATCCCCACACAATGCGGTTTCTTTAGACTGCTCTACTTAATAAAAGGCACAAAGTTCCTATTTTGGTCCTTGGGGGTCATTCTGATATTTGGTATTTCTCTAGCTGAAAATGCAATATTATAGGGTTTTACAAAATGTACTTCTTAGATATATAACTCAGTCATAAAACATATTTTATACCTGAAAGTAATTGGCCCAGCTGAACTGAAGGGGGACGCACCATGCATGCACCATGATGCACAAAGTTTTAAACTTAGCTCTGGGACTCACAAACCTGAGACTGCTCCCTTGGCACGTGGTTTATTGTAGGAGGGGACGTGGGCAGGGGTGCTCCTTAACTCCTGTGAAATGGAAGCTACTGTTTGCCTGTGGACAAAAATGTACTCCTGTGGAAGGTCCAGACTTGGAATAGGCCGTGAACTTGATTGAGGGCAAGCAGCAAGGCCGTAGTGGCTGAAAGTGGGCAGGATTATGTGCGAGCACTCACCACCACCTCCAACAGCCTGCAGGGACCCCGCCCCCAGTCACAACTGTCAAGTCATGGTTGTAAAACCTGTGTGTCACATCACAGGTGACTCCTAGCACTTAGTGAAGAGCTAAACTTCTGCGGTGTTCTGTGCCCCGCCGGGTGTGTGGACCCATGCTTGTATGATTCACTCTGCGCTCTCCGCTCTGCGCCTACAGCTCCCCAGCCGGAAGAGCACAGAGAATCCAGGTAACCCTGCCCCGGCCTCCCCAGAGTTTCAGGGGCAGCAGCTCAGGCCGGATTCCTCTTCTGGCCGTGTGGTCCCTAACCTCACCACGCACCCGCTCCTCTCCAGCGCGAACTCTGTCCAGCACACCGCCACACCGGCACACCGCTGATGCAAACTCCAACTCTTTAATCTGAGGGAGGCGAGCTGTCAGAAAGGGCTTCTTAATCCTTCCGACACCACCACTGCCCGCCCATCTGTTCTCCGGGTCCACTTCCTTTGCTGTCTCTCTTTTAACTGTGGGTGCTTCCTTAAGCCAAACTGCCAGCACCTGTCTATTCTTCCCCACATCCCAAATTCCTCAATTCCCATGAGATCCTTCCATCCGTAACTATCGTTGTTTATATCTTCCATCCTTAAAAAATACGTGCTCCACCCCAGGTCCCCCTCTGGCTGCACTCCCACCCTTCCTCGCTGCAGGGTAAAGCCTGGAACTGTCACCCTCGCTCCTGCTCTCTCAGCAGCCACACCAGGCTGCCCAGGTTCACCCCATACTGCACCGAGGTAGCTCCTACGGTCATGCTGCTGAACCCCGGAGTCAGTTCTCAGCCCCCATCCGGAGCACAGCCGGGACCTGTTTGTATCGTCCCTCCAGGAAACACATTCTAGTTACGGCACCCAGGACATAACTCATCAGCTCTTCCTCCTGTCACTTCTCTGCTGACTCCTCACTGTTTCCTTCCAACTTCCCTGGTTATAATTGAGATGCTCCAGAATTCAGTGGCCTTGCAGCAGTTGTTGTCCCTTCTGCTCTAAAGGAACCCACCCAGTCAAGCTTTAGAAACCATTTATTCAACCCTGATGCCTCCCAAATCCCTACCTGTAACCTGGACTTCTCCCTACACTCCAGGCTTGTCTTTCTAGCTGCCTGGTCAATGTCTCCAACCGAAAGTATCTGGAAGAGGAGGATTCCTGGTTTCCATTATCACACACAACAACCCTGCAGTTCCCTGACATAGTAACTGTGACCTTCCAACTGCTCGGGCTCAAAACCTCAAGCCAATCTTAACTGCTCCTTCTCCCCTCTGTACAAACCCATATGCAATCTATTATCAAAACACACCAGCTACACCTTCAAATGCATGAGGTATCGGAGCTGCACTCCCCACAGCTCCTGGGAGCCCAGCGCTTCCTTCCCTGGATGATGATGACAATGGCTTCTCCAGTGGGATGAATCCCTGCTTCCCTCTGTCCCAGCTGTCAACACAGCAGTCAGAATGATCCTTCCTAAATGGGGAGTCAGATTACATCACAGCCCAGTGGGCTTCACTGCCTCACCTAGAGTACGGGAGAAATGCTCACAGTGGTCTCGCGGGCTTTACAGGGGTCACAGCCCCCTCTCCATTCTCTGATCCGACCTCCTATCACGCTTTCTGCTGCAGCTGTACTTTCTTTCCTGGCTGGTTCTCCAGCGCATCAAGTAAGCTCTGCCTTAAGGCCTTACTTGGTTTTCCCCCTGTGAGAATGATTCTACCCAGCTGCCTCCTGCACTGCCCTCAGGTCTCTGATTAAAGGACAGCTTGTTAGCAAGGCCTTCCTGGCTACCTCCACGATCTATCTCACCTGCCCACTCTGCCCCACACACCCTGCTCCGCAAGAGCTTTCCATGGCCATTGTCCTCATTTCACATTACCTGCCTACTTCTGCATTCACTGATGAAAACCACTGCTAGAATGTACCTGCCATCAGCATTGGCACTCATGATTTTCAGCCCATCCGTGTCCCTAGCACCCAGACCAGTGCCAGTCCGTCGCAGAAGTTCAGTAAGTATTAGCTGAAGGGAAAACATGGACCCGAAATCATCAGGCAGTTCTAATGCTGTGTTCTTGTCACACCAAACTGTGCCCAGTCCCCCCAGTTCCTGTTTTCACAGTCCCTGGATCCCAGATATGTCTTGAAACTGAAACATGTCCTCCTCCTCCAAGGCTGGACAAGCTGGACATGTCTGAGACTCTTCACAAATGTCTCTGCTGTTTCTCCCAAATTCTTCTGCCCTCCAACAGCATTCCACAGGAAAATGACTCTAGGAAGTTAGGCTCATAAACCCATTTGTTCCTATGTCCAAAACAACACTAGAAACGTGACTCTTAACTCTGCCCATAGAGAACAGAACCATCCCCTGTCCTGTCATCCCCTTTGCTGACCTCTATGAAAGTTCCTAAATTATGTTTGTAAATACTGAAGTGACTAATTGCATTTTATCATAAATGTTTTTTACTTCTCTGTGTCCTTCACAAGACTGAATACAAGGACTAAATCTTATTTGCCTTAAACTGGCGAAATCTGAGTGAATGTGTGGAGATTAACTGAATGCTATCCATAGATAATAAATAACACTTACCAGAAGCTTATTAGCATCCTGCTGCTGTACATGGATTTCCTCACTTTAGCTTCTGAACAAGAATCTGCGCTAGAAACTATTAACTCCCTCTGCATTTGTGGAAGCTGAGGCACAGACAGGTAAACAGTTTTGCCCAAAGTCATACAATGGCAAATAGCAGGGCTCTTTAACCCTGGTCAGCTGGCTCATGATATTAATGAGGTATGGGAGAATCACCAAGATGACCGGGAAAGTTCCCCAACCTAACTACAGATGAGAATCACCTGAGATGTTAAGTGGCAGCCTTTGGTTGCAGCCCTAGAAATGCTGTTTGGGCCGGTCTAGGATGGAACTCAATGATCTGAATTGTTAATAGGCACCGCAGCTGATTAGCATGCAGTCAATTTGCTGCCCAGGTACAGCAAGCAGAAACAGCACATCAAATGGGGTGATTAGGAGGGATGCAAAGGAGACACTGACAAAGATGCTGGCGGAGATAAGGCAGTGGAGCAGCAGAAGAGGGCCATTCACACCCCTAGGCCAGCAGGGACAGGACAAAGGAGCAGGTATCAGAAACTACTGCAAGAAAAGATAGCCAGGCAGGAGCCTGATTCTGACAAAGTCAAGGTCAAAGTCAAAGGCAATCACAGGCCAGAGGGCAAAGGAGCCTTGATACAGTCCACACCGAACAGCCTTGCAAAGCATGGGGCAAAGCAGAGAGCAGAAGTATCCAGATCTGGAGAGGCAAAAGGAAAACATTCCATACACGGTGCACCTGAGATTCCATTTCCTATGGACAGAAACACCAGCCTAGTACTGGCAAATGAAACAAACCTGCTGATATATCCAAACGTTCTCCCAAATGTGTCCTTCACTCTCAGCTCTGGACGTAGCTCCTTGCCTGCTGAATAATGATATGCCCAAACCGAACACATTCCCTACCCAGACAACCTCTCTGTCATCCTACTCAGAGGACAGCACCCTAGCTCACCTGTACCTCAGCCCGCTCCCTCCCTGCCAATCAGGTAATGTGAGCCCTTTATCTTATCAACTTGATATCTTTCATCCCTCCCTCCCTCCCTCTGTCTCTTTCTCACAGCCTCTGCCCTGACCTGAAGTCATAGTATCTCTGCCTGGATCACTGCAGGAATCTCATAATGGGTCTCTGTGTTTCTAGTACCAACACTCTAAGGTATTCTCTTCAGAGCTGACAAATCTTTCTTTCTGAAACGCAAACCTGACCATATATGTCTCGGGCTCAGTACCCACGGCAGCTCCCCAAAGCATAGAGATGACAGGCAGACACCCATGGTGAATGCAGTGTGCTTTCTTATTTCCATCTCTAGGCCATTAGCTAAGAGAGAGAGAAAACTATTAATTCTTCATTTACCAGGGATCAGGTAGTTCTAGGATCTTCTCTATCAGTCTTTACTATTCCCATACCCAACACTAGAAATAAATATCAGTTTCATCTCTTCTCAGTCAGGTTTTTCCTATTCCCAATCATCACTTTAAATTCCTAGTTTTCCCTGATGTGTGCACTTCAACTGTATATCTATCTTGCCTTCATAAGTGTAACACAAGACCCTTATTTATCTGTTCTTATCCATTCTAGCAAAGGGTTAAAGGAAGAAAACACATTAATATGTACTAAAAACCTACTAGACTAGATCCAAGGCCTCGTCCTACACATTGTGCACTCACTACTTTGCCTCACACTACTACCACAAAAAAATACTTTAAAAAACAAATTAATATAGCTTCACCTAAAATAAACAGTACAGTGATATATGAAACTGCAGCTGACATCATCCACCTGCCATCTATCTGTCCCACAAAAGCGACTACTGTCAAATTTAAATATTGCATATGTATATGAATGATAGTATTTTTATATAGATTGGATGTAAGTATTTTTATATAGATTTATATAATATTTTATTAGTCTATAATTCATTTTTTAATACTAGGCCTTGGAGGGCTTGCCATAGTGCAATTTGTCACTAAAATCTCCCCTGAATATTCCCCTGGATGAATATTCCCTCACTGATTAGGCTATCCCCTTATTGATAGATGTGAGTTTATTTCCAACTTTTCACTCTACCGGATATATCATAATTTAACTATTTTCCTATTGATGTAGATTGTTTCTAAATTATTCTCTATAACAAAATGTGTTAAGAATCCTCACATCACTATGCATAATTGAAGAATGGCTGATGGATTTTTATAAGCAGAATTTCTGGGTTAAAAATATAAACGTGTTATGTTGCAGAATTAATGCCAAAATAACTTAAACCCAATCTTTAATAAAGAATATTCTCATTAACAGTTTATGAAAGTGCTTGCTTTTCCACATTATTTTGTTACTACCAGATATTTTCACTTTTTAAAAAATTCTGCTAATCTTATACAGAGAAATCTCACTTAAAAATAAATCTCTTTAACAATGGGGTTGAATATTTCTGTACATTTACTGACACAAAAATTTCTTCTCTGAATTGCCTATTTACTGATTCATATTTGTTTTACTGAACATGTTAGAGATATTAATTCAATGTCTGCTGTATATGTCACAAGTACTTTTTGCCATGTTGTCGCCTATATTTAACTATGTTCATAGTGACTTTTTATATTACAAATATTTAATTTTATGATGCTCAAGAAAGCCTTTTCCTGATATTCCTTCTAAAACTGTAAAGCTTCATTTTTGCATATTAGATTGTTAACCCGAACGGAATTTATTTTTATACATGGCACAGAGTAGGACATCTATTTATATTTTCTTCCTTTCTCTACCCAAATGTCATTAGTTCCATTTGCAAATGATAAAACTAAAACTCAGAAACGTTAACAAACCTGTCTGAGATTCCAGAGGTAGAAAGAGGCCTAACAAGGCCATCATCTTAATGACACTTGCTACCAAACCAAGCTACCTCTCAGGAGAATGCACAAGGCGATCCACATTGAAGCACGAATGCCCTCAGTACAAACAGCCTAAACCCGTCACTCACATCAGCTCTGCTGCATTAGCAGCAAGAAGCGCTTTGGTGTGGCTGATCATATATAGATATACCTGCCAAGATCTGCTCTGCATTTGCTCAGAGATGAAATCACGGAGTCCAGGAATAGAATGCCATTATTATTCAGCACCAACTAGCTGCCATCACGAAAATGAGGATGCCTCAAATTGACACTCTCAAACGACAATTCTATGTTCTCCTGGCTGGCATGGAGCCTGACTGAAAACAGCCACAGCAGAGGAGTGGGGTTGACATTCTACCACGAAACAGGAGGCTGAGCTATTCTGACTCCAGCTTCAACCACCAGTCCCCAGCAGGCCTCGGCCCCTGCAAGCTGTTTGTGGCCTTAGGATCTGATGGTGGTGCTTTTTATCTCATCTCTCTGATGGGGCCCAGAGTGGGTGCTGTTCCCGTACATAATGTATTTCTGTGCATCTGAGAAAACTTCCCATACCCCACTCCAGATCACAGGGTCCCAGAGAAAGGCTGAGGGTGGTTTGCAGGTGTCACAGGTGATTGCCCAAGGCTGGCCCACCAGCGTACACTGGCCCCTCAGATCCCCTTTCTCCCCCAGAATTCAGCGATGGGAATGAGGGAGTCCAGTCGGCTGCATCCCGAGGCTAAAACTGGATTGACTGGGTAAGTTCAGGAGCTGTGGGTGGGCATCTGCTGCCAGGAGGACTGCGAAGTGGGGAGACTGGCTTCGGGGAGGCCAAGGGGGAGGGTGCACGGAGGGAAGCAGCTCAGGAGCCGGGGACAGGATAAGGTCTGGATTTCTACTCAAATATTTACTGAGCTCCTGATGTGTGCCAGACACTGTTTCTGGTGACCAAGGACTAAAAGAGACCCTACTCCATCCTTAAAATAGTTCTACTTTGTTTGTTTAAGCTACACAGCAGGGGTTTCTCTTTCTTGTAACCTGAGACTTATTGCTTCATACAAGTCCACAAATTCAAGAATCTTCTACCTGGAGGATGGACAGTTTACACTTCAAATTGTTCCAGATGCCACTCCATGCAGTAGGCAGCCAACCTATGCTACCAGTGGCATCACTCATTTCATACCTAGGTCCCATCACAAGATGACTCCAACTTCTCTTGGGTAGTGGTTTTCAGCCAGCAGGGTACTGTGACACAGGTCCCCAGGGTACCATTACCAATGCTGAGGTCTGTCATTGGTAATTTTCTAATTGTAATAAAATGCTAAAGCTGGCCAGCATGGATGATTGTTTTTCCTGAGCAGACTGAAGGTCATCAGCAACAAGGATGTCAGCCTCACCTGCCTTCCCATGTGGCTTCTTAGGAGAAGAGAAACCTGAAATTTCCAGCATGCAGGAACCTGGGTGTGTACACGGGTCTATGTTAGCTGTATGGAAAAACATACCCACCGTTCAGTAAGGAAGTTAGAAAGAGTTGCAGAGCCTGTGTCTTCCACAGAATTCTAAACATAGCACAGGAAGTCAATAAACTCTGCTGTTGCTGCCACAGATGCCACAGGGAGGAACCTTTCTGCTCCATAAGCCTGCAACACTGTAACTGGCCATATAAAATATGCCTACTTGTGCTCTAGGCCTTACCTCTTGAAAAATCTTATCTCATGACGGAATTTCAAAGACTGGGTAAAAAAATCAAATATTAAAGTCAAACAAAGGCAAAAACAGGGCCATAAATGTGTCATTTTTTGGTTGTTTTCTGTGTCAGGCCATAAGGTCCTGGTAAGGGAGTGACTGGTCCAGAGGAGGGCATGTGACTGAAGCAGGGCCAATCAGGATCCTTTCTGAGAAGCTGAAATGATGCTGAGAGAACATCATCATCTTTAATCTCAAGTAGCAGAAATACATGAGCATGGGTTCCCAGAAAATGAAGTGCACCCAGAGACACTACCACACAGTGGCATGCTCGGGGACTACGTGCACATTATTTCATTAAATCCAGAAGACCAGAAAGTACAGAGCTACAGGCCCACTTTTATGATGAGGAAACTAGAGCTAGGAGTTTAACTCGCTCTCAATTGTCATGCAGTCAAAGAGCAGAGATTTTAATCTACACCTTTCTGGCACTAAGACTCACCTCGTCCAGGTAGCACAAAATGTTTTATGTGAAATTGGAGACAACCTGAAACTGCCTGTCTGTGAGATTCTGGCTGAGTCTTGGAGATCAGCTGATATATTCAGTCCTTTCAAGCTGAGGTCAAGCAAACTTCATCTGAAAAGGACCAGACAGTAAAGTGTCCAGGCTCTGAGGGCCACACAATCTCTGTCAAAACTGCTCAAA